TCACTCGTCTCGGTGACTTTCTCATTACGTGCTGATGGTGTACCTAATACGTTGATAAGTGCATGTTTCTGAATAAATGACTTTGAGCAGTTGAAGGTCGGTCGATGTTACCGGGGCGGTTGTGCAGATTGGTTACGTGGTAGACCCTCTTGAGTTCGAAAGGCTGGCCTTCGAACCCTCTTGAGAGATCTGTCATAACCGCAACGATTCGTGATTTTAACGAAATCCGTTAAACAGATTTTATATGAAAGCAAGAAAAACTTCCAAAAGATCATTATGACAGGATCGCCGCCTGCCACAAAGCACTAATAAGTTGTTTTCTCTTCAAGTTCTTATTAGTTAGAATTTTAGGTTTGTAGCCATTTTCATTAATATACATCAGTCACAGGAGCGCAGTGGTCGGAGGTGCTCTGCAACACACACGTGGCATCGATCTCGGTGCCCGTGGCCCATCAAGCCTTCCAGGGTCGGCAAATTGGTACTCTGGGAGGATAGCAGTACTGGCTCGATACATCGGCAGGCCATCGCGAGTCATCGTAAAGGCCAGATATGCATTTAATCGCCCCAAATGATGCTCAATGAAGTCGAATGCATGGCGCATTCCTCAGGGATTGATCAAGGCTGAGAGCTTTACCCTTTATCCTTTATACATCAGTCATGAACATGTAATATTGTAAAATTCATGCGTCATACTTAACTATCACTTAGTCTTGTAGATCTGTGTACTGTAGTTTTCATTGATCTTAGATGTAATTGTTTGTAATGGGTTGTACTTTATTTATTATCGATTTTAGATCTGATTTGGACTTACCATCTCCTGAAGATGTGCATGGTGTACATAACACATATAATATTATAGTATATAAAACTGAACATGCCAATGCTTCCCGACTCGCTGTATATCATTAGAAGCTGAATTAAATGAGCTTATGATAAGTAAGAGGGAATAGAGATGATGAATTAAGGACTCCTTCTTTCTGATTTTTTGCGACCGATTCCAGGATTTGAAAGATGAAAATGAGAGCATAGAAGCTTGAAAGTTGAAGAACTCTGTACAACGCAGCGTTGCACGAGTGTGAGAGTTTAATATTGGGGCTGCTTGGTTAATGCTTATGTTTTGAAGTGAGAGCCGATCGATATGTATCATTTGTATGTGGACCGCAGTACCGGTTAACGAAATGATCGCTACAATGTAGTGATCAATGATTGTTGACGTGAAACTTTCCAGCACTGGAGTTTTCATTTGCGATCGCTTCTCACGCATTGCATTAGATTTTCGTCCGAACTTTTCCTGACCTTCAGTCAATGACCGCAGTTTAGGTGAGAGATGAGGCTTTTGTTTTCCAGTACCATGTGGGTTTGAGAATTAAGTCGACCATTGTACATTTCAGTGACCTATGAAATTCCTACAGCCCTTGGTCGGAAGGAATCTGTAAATCGATGGAAGTTGGCTAACGTATATGAGGTATACCACGGCTCCTTTCCAAATTCCGACCACACAATGCATGTTAATTAGAGACGTTAGACAAAAGCCCTTTGCGATTAGGTACAACGGAATATGAAACGCGCAGCAGAAAGAACCGTTTGCCTGATGCTCAGAATTCTTCACGGATACCTAGGAGAAAAATATACAGCTCAGCGGATCCCTAGAGCGAAGTGCACTCACTAGGCCCAGTTTTATTCGCCACAGTGAAAAAAGAACACTATACTGGCTTCTGCTCGAATTTCTCAACGATCGACGGAGAGACAGATGGAGCTAAAAGTAGGAAGCGTGCTGTGTTATTTTCCTCTCAATGAATAGTCTTTTCTTCTATTTTAGAAATTTCACGAAGCTCCATTGAGAGAGAGACGGTGAGACGTTGAGTGGTGAGACGTAGTTTGCAAAGATGTCGTAACTGCTGACACTCACTTGCAGTAAGCAGCAGCTGAATTGTGTAGCTCGTGAGATGCCGACGATATAGGAGAAGTCGTAACTGTCAAAAAGTCCAGACATTGACTAAAGCTGATCAGATGTCAGATGCATGGAAAAGAAATCGGTCCGACATTACCTCTCATCGGCGATGGCGTGAAGTATTTCCTGTTACTTCAGCTAATCAGAGAAACCGTGAAGCAATGCTTGTAAAAATGAGCCTACCTCTGCATGGTTTTCATTATTGACCTCGATGGAGGATAACGCCTGTGATTACGATAGATATGACTGCTGGTGTGACCCATTTGGACTACTTCGTAACTTAATGACAGTTATGGCTTGTGGCGTTTACGGCGTGTTCACTTTTCGTTCTTTCTGATATCGCGTGAACCAAGACCTGTTTGAATTTCACTTATTACTAATAGATAGAGAGACGCTTGTAGCGCAATGGTTAAAGTGGCCTGCAATGCAGGATTGATCCCTGGTTCGATCCCGCGCTCTGGGCTCGCCAAGCCTTGCATCACTACAAGGACTATAAATCGGTAGCAGAATTGTCACAGAGAATAAAAACACTGACTTGCTACAGCCCACCATTGATGAAATAGAATGTATGGTGAAACCTTGAGAAATTGATGAATACCAAGTGTTTTGTGCTATAACCTCGTAGCAACTCACGTACCCAAGGTACTCAGCTGCGACAGCTTTGTCTAAATGACACTTTCTGCCTTGACACTAGTCTGCCATTGGAACTACTGAAGACCTAGTCGTCTTTGTTCCATTTTATTCTCAGGGATGACAACCTGTGGATGATTGACTCGAATCAGTTCGGCTGTGAAGAAGACGATGGCGTCAAATATTAGCATAATAAATCTTTTTACCGTCATCATATTAGCCTAATAATTTAGGAAAGTAACGATCCCGTTATTACCCTTTCCGGTGGCTGTCGCTCTCACCACCACACCATGCGGGTCCTTCGCTTCGCCTGTCTCTCAGCTAGTTCTATCGATCACTGTTATCAGCAATCACCCGTCAGCGGGCTTGATCTGGGGAGCCCAACTTGGCAACGGTCCCAGTTAAGCTGAGGCTGTTGTTGAAATCACAATGCTTTTACTTTTTATTTCCTGCCTACTACAATTTTTCACGATCGGGAATTATGCGAAATGCCACCACAAAGCTGCTGAGATATTTGCAAAACTCTGGACCGCAGGTGTTCGCGGTGGTGAACGAACGCGCTATTACCGTTTCCGCAGGCTAACGTGCTCACCACCTTATCATGCGGGTCCTTCGTTCCGCCTGTCTCTCAGCTAGCTCTATCGATCATCTATTGCCATCAGCCATCAGCAATCAGCAATAGATGATCGATAGAGCTAGCTGAGAGACAGGCGGAACGAAGGACCCGCATGATGTGGTGGTGAGCGCGTTAGCCCCCGGAAAGGGTAATAGCACGTTTGTTCCCCACCGCGAACACCTGCGGTCCGGAGTTTTGCAAGTATCTCAGCATCTTTGTGGTTGTATTTAGCATAATTCCCTGCCATGAAAAATTGTAGTAGGCGGAGAAAAGCAAAAGCATTGTGATAACGTTAGCGTTAATACTGTTACATCTACCTTCTTGATATCTCCGTGTGGTTGTTAGTGTTGTTGTATTAAATTGTTAAACAGAAGGGTTTATTTCACCCAAGTCTGAGGTACACTCTGTGGCAAAAGCGAAAAGTCCAGCGTGGAAATATCGTACGAAGACGAGCACTATATTACTGAACTATGTGATTCTTGGTACCTTCAGCGGACTGGACGAATGCTCAACGCCAATGAGACGACATAATGTTATAAAAGACTATATAAAATGATATTTTTCAAATAACCCCACCTTTATGACATGACACCATGTATTAGGCAGATCCCAGCATTTCCTTCATTCCGCTCATTTTTTGCCCATCCATTGTTTATTATGGTCTTCTGAATTGTGTGTGTTGTGAGGTTCCGATTCAACGTCTCGGTCTTCACGGATGTTTTTGAATGCTTCTCGATCAGATTCTCCTCACAACCCTCGGAGCTGCATCGTGCCATTCCCAAGTATTCACCACAAGTGGAGCTTCATCGTGCCATTCCCAAGTATTTACCACCAGCCTGTGTGGATTAGAAGGAGATTGCGGGACAATTTTGGAACTGAACTGCCACCCTGAAGAGATAGGAAGCTTGGTCGGCCCAGGACGTAGTCGAATCGTGGTCTTGCGCGCATTATTCCTGTACCATACGTCCCATTACGCTACTCTGCCCAGCTCTCCATTCTGGTAGGCGTAAAAGACAAGGGTATTCAGGTGAAAATTACTATGTAGCGATTACGGTACAAAACACAAAAAACTAAAATGGATTATAAAACGCTATTGTGATTTTAAATTTGCTGTAAAATCTGACGATAAAAAGATGAAGCGCTTGGCGTTGATCTATCCCTGTGGGATGCGCCATCTATTCGGCTTCATTACACATCGTTTGGAGATGATTGGGTGCATATTTGGTCGATCGAAGGGTTGGTGAGCCTTGGGCGCGGGGATCGATCCCATGTGTACTGCAGAGGACCTCCGACCACTACGCTGCACGCTCTCTAGAAATCCAAGGACTGATCCAAAATGCCAGAGATTCACCTTTTTTAGGATTTTCCACATTGTTGATCGATAATTGAACCTTAGACAAACATTGGGAACGAGCCTACTGTTAATGATGGCTAACCTTCCTCGTAAAACCAACAATTGCTACGGAAGAAGACTGGTGGCGGACTTGAATTTGATTGTTTAGTAACTATGTGGCTAGAACTTAGATTGGTACGTAATTGTATTGTTTATTTACTTTTGAACAATGGTAGTAAATCGGTTAGTAATGCAGACTGGAAGAAAATTGGATGGTGTCACACTGTCGGAAAGAATATTGACACATTCTATATGACAAAAGGGTCATATGTGGATTTATTCGGAACAGAGTCAAATCAACAGGTAGTATATTTCCCACACATTTTCAGTGCATCACGAACAAATTCTTACTTTAAAATAAGAATAAGATCTCTTATTTAGATTGCTATACAGAAACGATGAGAACGAAGCTACCAATCATAGATCGATCGAACTTGATTGGACACCTCACCGTTAGGCAGCAACCGTGGACTGTTTTCTGAGTAGAATTGCGAATACCATCTGTAAAAATATTTTGTACATTAAATACATTGATATTTTCCGTAAGAGAAAAGTATCCATCGATAAGCATGGGAAACGCAGAGATTAAAGTTTGAAGGAGGATAGGGTTTGTTAAAGGACACCCTTGACCGGTCAGTCTACTTCTACTACTCGCATGAATCGCTCGTTGGCATACTGGAAGGATTCGCGTCCCAGAGCATTGAACCCTGCTCTGATCTACAACGATGGGCGTCTTCTTGTGCTGTAGAAATGGGTACTCTGACACATACCTATCTAAATTGGTATTCTGAGGAGAGCCACGCTCAAACAGTATTCAACGTGACCTTGAGGAAAGAAGCCAACAGATATCCTCGAGCTCACTCACGAACACAGCGACGTTTGTTGATAATTATGGCGAAGAAGAAACATCGATTTCCATATAGTTCTTGACAGGCTGAATTACACGTGGAAACTTTCGCAATGACACCATTGTGCTCTCAAATCTTCTAAAGAGAAGCACGATCTAAGTCGTTCTTCTCTATTCAACACGGTTCCAGTACACTTTTAACACCTCCACCGTATTTGAAAAGAAGTTCCCGGAGCTCAATCGCCACAACTTGAGCTGCGATGGAAGACGACATAACAACTCTTAGGTCACGAATACAGTGATTGCTTTCCACGAAGTTAAAAGCCACTGACTATTCTTAACTCACACATCATTGGAATTCTATTGCTCCGAAATGTGGCTCTAACTAGCACATAATATCGTTGCAAAACGAATAATGAAGAAAGAGATCTTTATAAATAACTTCGATCCACTTTTAAAATTCGATTAGCCTTTTTGCGTGTATTAAAATATTCAGACGTGGGATAGAGTGAAGACGAGTTATTAAAGTGTTCAAGTATCCAAGTATCAGGATATCTAAGTCACTGAAACTACGTACCTTCTGTGTTTTTGAATTGGTCCGTCGTTACGGACGACGATAGGATTCTTGATATACTTTTTGTTTGACCAAATAAATACATCGCGCTCGAACTAAAATTAAAAAATAAATATCTGATTAAGGTAAGTGCTGTAAACTGACTTGAAAAGAATCCCACGGATAATGTCAGATCAAAACTAGGTTTTACAACCTTTTCCTGTTTTTATCATAGAAATGATCCTTCTGCAATGTTGAAAAAATGATTCTTTTATGTGATTCAGGTTTGATAACCGGATAAACCAGTGGTCCAGTGCATTGAATGATAAAGGATAAAGCTATCGGCGTTGATCAATCCCTGAGGGATGCACCATGAATCGCACTTCATTAAGCATCACTTGGAGGTGATTCAATGCATATCTGGCTTTTATAATGACTCACGGTGGCCTACCGATGTATTGAGCCACTGCTACTCTCCTCCGAGACAAGTCTGGTGCCAATTTGCTGACCCCGGAGGGATGAAAGGCTTGGTGGGCCATGGGGCCTCCAACCACTGCTCCACAAGCGCCCATTCATTTTGGATAAATTTCGAAAACCCAAAGACGAACAGCAGAGAGTAATGCTTTGTCACCACGCATTTCTTCGCCACATAGCTGATTTTTTAACCTCATCTGGGTACACTCCTCACTCATACAAACTCTGTTCGACTGGTCTCCATTTGTAAGTGAAAGATTTGTAGAAAACCGTGACTAGTTTAGAAAAACTGCTTCCCATGCGGTTAGAGCCTAGTTTTTGAGTTTTTATCGGTTAGGGTTATAAAACTACTTAGCTACATATATTGCCTATCAGTGGGATCCTTTCCAGGCTTTGAAGAATGCGAAATGTCCCGAAACGTTAGCCGTAACGGAGTAAACAATATGTTAACAACCTCCCGCCTGCTAATCAAGAAAATAACCTGCTTTTGCAAAAAGCTCTCTGAACCTGCTTCTCAGTATTTTAGTCCGCAAAAATTTAGAAATGTTTTTTGTTTTTTGTTTTGTTTAGAGATGTTTTTTCGTACCTGTGTTGCTTCGCCGATGAGGAAAAACTTTGCGAACCATGAAGGCACTGTGGAGAATATCTTGAAGCGAACCAGCTGTAGAAGAGGTTCCTGAGGTGTGACATGATGCAGGACAACACCTTTACCAAGTATACCAAAATCGAACAGCATGTGTACGATTCCTGGCCCGTGCTGAAAGAAAAGACAAAGTTACATTCTTGGGATCCCCGGCTTCAATGGCAATAGAAGGAGAAATGGAGCAACAATTATCCACTTTTCTAAAAGAAGTGAATACTTTTTCGGAATAACGAGAACGTAAAAGACTCTTATTACGACTACAAGTGTGAAATGAAAGATAATGAAAGAATTCGTTTACTGTGACTTGACGAATATCTGTAGTAAAACAAAAACCTATTTCTTCGGATAAGGATGGAAAGGAAATTCTTCGCAGCCCATATGGGGTTCCGAGTCTCGCTCATATCTCAGCATACATGTGCTTATGCCCACCGCGTTGAAAATATTTAACTGACCTGAGAATTACGGATTGAAATATTCCATTTTTAGAGTTACTGATCGGCTTGCGTATAGGATAAAGCGAGAAAGGGTTCGACGCTGATGTATTACTTATGGATGCGCTATGCATCAATCAGACCATTCATAGTTGCATCGTTGAGGTGATTGAACATTGTCTGCCTTTGTATCAATGCAGTGTTTTTTATCTTCCCAGAAAAGTTTTACGTCAGCATCTTACTTCAGAGAGATAGGGAACTTGGCTATCCTAGTGCGCGGAATTGAACCAGTGACTTTGTCTGTATAGCAGCGCATTCCTAATTATTGTGTTACAGTCGCCCAGACATTCATATTTTGACAAATTTTGTTAAGAACATTTCACAGGTATCGAGGACGGCAAGTGCAGTGTACACGGAAATTTTTAGATATAAAAACAATTAAACAGCTGCTAAGGGCGCGCGTGGTGAAGTGGTCGGAGGCGTCCTACGACGCACACGTGGAATCGATCCCCGCGTCCGTGGCTCACCAAGCCTTCTATCCCTCCGGACTCGGCAAATTGGTACCGGACATGTCTGGGGGACAGCAGCACTGGCTGAATACATCGGTGGGGCGCCTCGAGTCATTGTAAAGGCCAGATATGCATTCAATCACCTCCAACGATACTTAATGAAGTCGAATAGACGGCGCATTCTTCAGGGATTGACCAACGCAGAGAGCTTTTTATTCTTTAGGTAGTTATTGTCGCAGATGCAAATAACCCTGAGCAATGCTTTCGTATCTAGTATACTGATAGTTTTTAGCTTAGTTATGACCGATTATTGAACGATTGCTTGGAGTATTGATGTTCAAACGTAATGGATGAAAAAAGACAGGAAAAAATTTCCAGTTGTCTAAAATAAAAACCTGTTCAGCTTGAAGTCGACTGCTTGTTAGAGGAATCTTGTAACCGCCAATAGTTAAGTACTGATCGAGATGCATTACGGATACATGGGACTCATCGTTCGATTTCGGTGCCCAATTTCCGTCCCATACGTGCCGAATCCAATGCTTGCTGTTGTCGAGATCAATATTGAACAGATTGCTCCCTGGAATCTTCAAATGGAAACACTGTATAGGTGAATCTTAGAAATCGTTCCGATGGCTTCCGTTCATTTTTCGAGTATATAGGTTAATGATGGTGTCATCACACACCTCGCCTCCCTCACGGTGCATTATGACTAGGTGGCGTGCAAATGAAAGAGTAGGAGAGAAGAGAATAGAGTCGCCTTAACAGAACGACCGAAACTAAGTCCTTTTCAGTAGAGCCACCAAAATTTGAAGGAAATTTGGCATTTCGAAATGGATTACAAGCTAAGGTTTACGGTTACGGCAGAGCTCAACTAGATATCAATGTCTACATTCTCGCAGTTATAGAATTCATTTATTTACTTAGTTATGGCCATGAGGTCATTTAAAGAAGAGGATTATACGGCCCAGATTACTGCCACGCACCTGCCAATGCGCTTGAGATATTAAACTGTTACAGCTGACAAAAATAGAAGAGAAGATTTTCGATCCTGATTACTTATGATTCATCTCGTAAAAAGGGAAATGGTTATAAATTTCTTGCAATGGAAGTGCAAGTCCAATGGTTAAATAACGCATGATTAGGTTCGATCCCTCTCAGGCCAATCAAGGCCACCTTTGAGATCGATAAACTGGTACAAAATATGAGTAGGACGTAACTTCTATGATGCTGAGATATTTGCAAAACTTCAGACCGCAGGTGTCAACGGTGGGGAACGAATGCGCTATTACTCTATCCGGGGGCTAGCATGTTCACCACCACACCATGCGACTTCGTTTCGCCTTTCTCTCAGCTAGTTCTATCGATCACTGCCATCGTTAATCACCCGTCAGCGGGATTTATCCGGAGAACCCAAATCGGCAATGAGCCCAGTTAAGCTGAGGCTGTAACATCATAGAAGTTATGTTTCGCAAAATACCCTGCCATTAAAAAGAGTAGGCAGTAAATAAAAAGGTTAAGATTGTGATTATAACTACAGGAAAGTGCTGGCATTCGTACAATATCTGTGGATGGGTCATAGAAAGAAATAAAACAGTAAGTGCTGAAGAGACCTAACAGAGACAAATCTACCTCGATTTGGTCCAGAGAGATGCAAATAGTTGAGATGAGCAATGTCAGCGCCATTTTCCGGTATCTCCTGACAATGACACATCACTTCGTGTTCCGTCCGTCCACCATATTTCCATTCTTCGTTGAGGATCTCATCAAATTCTGGAATATTCCATTCCGGTTCTTTACCATCGCAGTGGTACCTGAACGTCTAATAGAAGAGCATGATGAAATATATTAGCCTAAATATGCTGAAATACAGAAAGACTCTCACCAAACGTAGATGTGCTGATTTCTTTCTAGGACTGGCCATACGGCGACCTAGAGAAAACGCTTGAAAGTGTGTTCAAACGAACAAAACACAGGAAAAACTGAGAATGTGGGACCAGTTATATTATTAAAGTAAATACGGCAATCACAGAGCTTATTTCCTCACTTCAGCACCAGAATTTCTTCTCAGAGAATGTCGATAGGATAAAAAAGAAAGATGGAATAGAAGGCAGTGCAAACAAAAACCCATTATGAACATATCATTCGATGATTAAGGTGTAATTTCTCCATGGTCCTCATTCAATTTTACACTTCTTCAAAATTTCAAGAAAGATTCAGAATGAAAACTAATCTTTTAAGCTTAAAGTTGTATTTATTTGTATGTTGGCATTCCTAAATTTTGTTTAACTCAAACGTGGAGTTCATAATTACTAACCAAACATTGGGAAACATGATCACGTCCTGTGGGAAAAATAATGCTTGTTGGATCGCTCGATGGTTTAAGATGAGGGCCACGTAGAGAAAAAAGACTTGTTGCCTCGAAGAAACCAGGATTTGATCTAATAAAAACAGTGAGCTTTACAAGCAATAATTTGGAGGTTTTAACGGTTGTAGGGGCGCATGTGGCGCAGTGGTTAGAGGCGGCCTGCAACACACGTGATCCCCGCGCCCATGGTCCACCAAGCCTGCCATCCCTCCGGGGTTGGCAAATTGGTACCAGACTTGTCTGGAAGGATAGCAGCACTAGCTCGACACATCGCTAGGCCACCGCGAGTCATTGTAAAAGCCAGATATACATTCAATCACCTCCGAACCATGCTTGGTGAAGTCCAATGCATGGCGCATCACTCTCCGAGAGCCTTACCCTTTATTATTTATTGTCTAACGATTGTTATTTTAATTGGTAGAGTTTGCTATAGGCCGAGGTGTCTTCAGCAAATGTTGGTAGGTTCAGTTATTCCAGAGCTATTCATATAGCGCACTCATAGCAGCCAACCTGCCTTACATTCGTGAATTGAAATCAACTCATTTCACGAAAAATTTGCCAAGGAAATAAGAAATAGCCAAAAAACGGGTAACATTGCTAGAAAGGGAGAAACCATGGGAAATACGATCTAGTGATTTTTATTACAAAATTTCTCCCTCGAGAAAGAAAAAGAACTTTCCTGCTTTTGAATACAAGGAGTGTCAGAGAGGTCATTTTCCGAACTCTTCAAATTTATACGTTCGACGTACAGGGTGTTTAAAGATAACTAACATCTTTGTAGTGTCAGTTGCAATCAAGGACCTCTATCATATGAAGAGTTCCGACCCTCCTTCTACCGACAACGTGTAACGTGTTCCAAGGTGGCGAATAAGGATTTCGATGTGCTCCAAAAACAATTATTTACTTTGGTAGCGAGTGTAAGGACTGGGAACTATTATACAGAAAGCGGTTTAAGGTTTTCTGCAACGAACAAATCCATCATGCACTCTAAAAGAGCCAGTGTGAAAATTCAGTACCTATAACAGAGCCCTGCCCGGTGACCATGGCTAGATCTCGAAAGAAAAAGCCCAACACCGTAGCATTGTGCTCTCCGTGCTATGTGTGTGTGCTCAGTCTAAGTCATTAGGCAGCTCTGATGCACACGACAAGAATGAACAAGTACCGACCGGTGACTTCACTGAATTATTAATGGGATTATGGGATTAAAAATAATGCCGGCACATGTCTAGGTGTTATTTGTTCTATTCTCTCTAGCGTTTTCTGTTCTTCGAAGTGTTCAGCGGTTCAATAATTTTCTATATGATTCAGCTAACACAAAAATGGTATGAACGAGGTTAAGACTTCCAACGACTCTCTACCGTAGCGTTGCAAATAAACGACAAGATGAAATCCTGTATTCACAGATGTTTTAACAAACCTGTGCTTGTTGTGGAATACTGCCCTCATTGTAAGGTATTCGTGTGCATTTTCCCGTTTCTGCAGAAAACACCCAACCATGAAAGGGACATTGAACGCAGTTGTCATCTACAACCTAAAGTACAAAGTCGGATCTTTGCATTAAAGAAAACCGCCAGAAAAACGAAAAAATCATGCATGAGTACTTCAACAGATCTGCTTGTAATAAATAAATAAAGGTTAAAGCTCTTGGCGCTGATCAATCCCTGAAGGATGCGCCATCTCCATTCGACTTCGGAGCATCGTTTGGAGGCGATCGAATTCACATCTGGCACATCTAACATTTACAGTGACTCGCGGTGGCCTACCGATGTATCGAGCCAGTGCTGCTATCCTCCCAGACTAGTGTGGCACCAATTCACCGACCTCGGATGGATGGAAAGTTTAGTGAGCCAAGGACGAGGGTATCGATTGCACATGTGCGTCGCAGGGCGGCTCCGGCCAATGCGCCACACGCGCCCTTGCTTGTAATATTCAACTAATATTTCATCTAATATTTTCGCTATTCATGTCAGCTTATTCCATTATTTTGACTTACAGGCCTATTGCCATAACTATCCGCTTTGAAAGCACACTTTCAACCGGGGATGTGAACGGTTCCATGTGTTGTTCTGGTAGCAAATAGTAAGTATCTCATAATACAGTCCACAGAAAAGATGGACGAAAAACAGTGTAGTGGATCCCCAGAGAATCAAAACGACCTCGAAGGATACGACGAGGAAAATGGACCGACGTGTTGACTAAACAACTAAATCGGCTTGATGATGAGATATTTTCGAAACTCCGGACCGCAGGTGTATGCGGTGGGGAACGAACGCGCTATTATCCGTTCCGGCGAGTAACGCGTTCACCACCACACCATGCGGGTCCTTCATTTCGCCCTTTTCTCAGCTAGTTCTATCTATCTTTTGCCATCAGCAATCACCTATCAATCAATCAAACGTTCGCTCACCATCGCATACACCTGCGGTCTGGAGTCTTGCAAATATCTCAGCATCATTGAAATTATATTTCGCAATATATCCTGCCATTAAAAAAGAGTAGGCGGTAAATAATAAGTTGAAATTGTATATCAGCTTTACTCACAGCTGAAGTCAATTTTCAGATTTTCATACCATGAAACTGTACAAGAACACATGAACACGACCACGTCCATAGTTGCATGAGAGCGAAAAGGATGGAAGGGCTAAGAGCCACAGTACACGCGATGACGGGTCATCCAATCATCTAAGTAAATAGTAAAATTCCATTTTCGACCCGATGATGAGCATAGGTCACATTATTCCATTCTAGACGTGAGGGGCAAGGAAACTGGTGTGAATAATCGCCATGGCAGTTTTTATTCGCTTCGCCTCTAAATATCAATGACGTAGTGCTTCTCGCATATACCAGTCGTCCGTTGTACTGGCTGATATATGTCATTTCGTTCTCCTAACGTCCGTTCCCATCTTTCCATCAAGAGATGATACGCTGCTATTCACCGGCAACAGGCATGGAGGTGGTCGTAATCACCCAATTTGACAATTCCCTGAAGAAAACTGCAGAATCTAAAGCTTTGAAATAAAGGACCAAAGTCAGAAAGTTTATCCAAGCTGATAACATTTCAGGAACAAGGAACTTGGCAGGTGGACAATGATTCCTGGTGGCCAAATTCATAGAATAGTCGACAATGCTTCTAAAAATAGTATGCTAGAAGAAAGAGAAGATGAAAGGGAAGCCGCAATCAAAGACTTGATCCGAAATGCGAGTTCTTCGGCTCGGTTCTTCAGAGCTGCTTATATTCCAATATTTCCCATAATTTAAGCGCAGCCGATATATCCCACTAAAGAATTCGTTGAGAAGAGCAAGTATGAACTTTAAAAGCTAAAATCAGAGTTTTGGGTAATCGAAATAGATTTGTACCCCTAACTTTAAACACATATGTCTCATCTCCTTGTAAAGCTTAACCAGCTCATGTAAAGTCCGTTGTATTCAGCCATATTTTTTATAATAGTAAATTGGGTGCAAAAATAGGGTGTCCCATACGAAAAGCATGACGTTCGTTCCATTCCTCAACAACAACGGAGTTTACGAGAAACCTCCTTAGCATCACAAGGGTCAACTGAGAATTCGGTGCAACTCGTTTGAGTTGAGCAATGGATCGATGATGAATGTTAGGTACTATATAAATATAAACACATTTTAATGGGTGTTTTACGTATATATAAAGTTGGTTGGAAAAAGTGGAATACAGTTTTCACGTCTTACTTTTCCGCCAACGTTAAAATTAGCGCCAAGATGTGGACAGTAGGAGTCAATCAAGTAGACTTGACCACTTTCGGACCTCACAAGTGTAAGAAACTGGCCTGAAACTCTAAACTGTCAATGAAGAAAAGCTGAGTAAATTGAAAACTAATACTCAAATTGATTTAATAGAGAATATTTCATTCTACTTATCTACTGCAACAACGTTTTGGGCGTCGAATTTATTTTCCACCGAGTTATCTGTAAGTATCAAACATGGAAAAGACTGTGTTGTTTTTCTCAACGCTTTACATCGGGAATCACCGAAAATATTCCTCTCTAGAACAAAGAGAGAAGGCCTGCATGGAATTTTTTTCATTTAAACGATAGGATTTAACTTCACTTCGTAGAGTATTCTCAATACACGATTAGGCTTGTTCCACGAATTTATGTACACTGGAACACTACTATTTGTGAAGTTCAGCAGATGCTCAAGCTAGGTAATAAACTTAAGCCGATTTGGATTATACGGAGTATTCATGGAGAATATTCTCTATAATGTACTATAGAGCGGATAGAACAGTGGTAGTGATATAGGTCATCATGAGCATGGTGCTAGTTCGATTCCGCTCCGGGTCAATTAAACCTCCATCTGGGGTCAACAAATTGGCATCGGGCTTGTGTAGGAAAAATCAGTCTCTGCAACCCAACTGGGAACGCTCCAGCCCGGCTATCTCAGGACTCTAGGAAAAATCGACCCAACCAGCACTCTACGACATTCAAAATGAAATGGAAATCTTCAATCAGTAGCCGAAGCCACACCCAAAAGTTGGAAGATTTTGGTGGACAGTGGATGCGAGGAGGTGAACCGAATGTTCTGCTCGAGTGCTGGGATCCGCACAGCAGACGTGAAGACGGGTCATATAAAGCAAAAGGAAACTGTAGCTTTTCACATTATCAGATGCTTTTAATGTTTACTAGTTATTGTTCTTAGTAGCATTTACTCCTATCTTCCCATGTACTACGAAATACGTCCCACGGACTGAGCAAGGCACACAACAACTTCATAACGTATATTTTTGAATGTGCAACAAAGTCCATCCACTGAACAACCTCTTTCCAAGGAACAGTAAATCTAATAAAGGTTGCTTTCAATTTTTAACTCATCCTTGCTAACAGTCCGCACCCGACTTTGGCCCTTATTGGCTTTCGAGGATGATATCTCTCTTTTTACTTACACTGTTTAAGCAGCCCATTGAAGGAAATACTTTCTTGGTGTTGATGCTCCTCTTTGTATCGTATTTGTGTATTAATCACAACATAACTTGTATTCTTCATACCCCTCCCAACGCGTTACCGCCTCATCGCGATTGGGAGGTGCTCCTCGATGCTGGACTGCGATGTACAGCGGAGGATTCGTTCCTCTGGCAGGGTCTCCCAGGCTGAAAACGGATCTGGTATTTCCATCAGGAAGCCTAGCTAAGAGTAAACCAATAACAGGATCCACCACCGTACTGGTATCAAAGTCGCAGAGTGGCAAATCTCTCTCTGATCCACAAGGGCTGCTGAAGACCTGGAGCAAACTTTGGCAAGGCTAACTTCAGGATTCCAGAAAACCACAATGGCTTAACCAGCAAATCTCCGAAAAATGGTGATTATGCTAGGTCCTGCACAACCAGTGAGAATAGGCCGTTCAAGTATCAAGTATTATTCATACCTACAGTGGTAAAATCGCTGTGTAAGTGTTTTGTACGATTGTTTAATAACCCAAGCTTTCGGCTTAAACTGTAGGATTAATAAAAGCCTCTTTTAGTGAGACAGAAGAAGGAAACTGCAAGTGCATCCGAATTAGCATATGAACTAGTCGAATTCACCCGAACTACAAGTTGAAGAAAGAAGGGAGGTATGCACGCAGGAACAGGGAAGACTTTAATGACGGTTAAGATAAAAGATGGTTTGTTTTTCATAGTGTTGATTAAGTTCATTCAGACGTCGAACACTGAGAACTACCGTAATTAGCTAAGTGATATCCAACCGCATCGACTGGTGCCTAGCCGCTTACCGAACACGGTTACCTCTCGTATACTTTTCAGTTTCAATTGATCGGACTCTGCAATACAGTACCATCCATTTGGATAAACAGGTGGCAAAGCACCAACTCGTCGAAGTTTTGTGAGTCGACTAATTTGACGCTCACGATAGACGCCTTTCAGCTAAAAGAAATGTGTCATTTATAGATCGAACGTCACTTTCGATATGAAAATAGAAACTTGTCAAAGTTTGTTTTCACGGTTTTTCAGCTAAGGACAAAAAAAATTTGGAAAGCAATTAATCACCAGTCAACTCAGCCAATCACCAAATCGATAAATACTGTTGAAAATTTTTGCCCAATTGCAAGCATAAAACAAATGACCATTTTCGTCAACGCATTCTGAAGTATTACAAAGACTATGGAAGAAAAACAGATAAGATGACAATAATCATTTTTACCTCCTTTGCAGTAGGAGTTGGTTTTTCGACAACCCACGACAGTTTCTTGATTACTAGAGTATTTTAAGAGTATAGAACATTGTGCGTTTAGGAATGAGACTTTGATCGATCATGAATCTCATAAAAATTTCATGGTTTTTTTAAATTAAGATTTCTTTGGGGTTAGAATTCCAAAAAAAAGCCTTCCCCATTTACTTACTTCGAAACATGTATTCTGACATAAAATTTGGGAGAATTACTTGTAGTGGGCCCAGGAAAGCATGCTTCTCACCGTAGTTAACAATAAAACTTTCATTTCGTGTGAAAAGAATTTCGCACCTTAATAGTTTTTAATAGTACTAATTAAGGAAATTCGCTACAAGCTCGGATAAGCCGATATAAGACTAAGAGTCGAGGTCATTTTCACACCGTAAGATCTCTATGGAAGTCCTACCACGTGAATGTTAGATTGGACCATACATTGAAGATATACAACTTTTGTAGCACGCATCTAGTGCAGTAGATAGTGGATAGCTTGAATGGATATATGATTATTAGTCTGATCACTACAGTTGGGATAACTGGGACCTTCATCTCTCTGGTCTCGCCAACTTGGTCCTTTGGTCGCTCACTCCTAGTTGCTGTATATGTTAAAAAAAGCACCAGAAATGATTAGGCAATATAAGACCAGTATCCTTGTGGGTTACCGTATTCTACTTTGTTTAGTGAGTGAGAAAACTCTCATGTATAAAAACTCTTTGATGTGCTTCTTACAATATCAAGGCAAGTATAATAGCATATTTTTTTAAAATTAGTGTTAGGCAGGAACGAACAGAACAACGTAATACGCTGCGCTAACGAGCGTTCCCAGTAAATAGTATAAATAAGTAGTAAATCTTATCTCCCTCTCTTCTCTCACAGTCACAAAATCAAGATAAAAAATAAAAATTGCACCTACACCGAGAGAAGGAATGGCTGTGGACAATCGATTAGGACCAACCCGGCTATGTAGAAAGCGAATGCGTCAAAACTTTGGCGAAATAAAATTTCTTTATCAACCCCGTGCAAGCCTAATCACAAAAGAAGTTACGAAAACTATATTCACCAGTTTTTTTTATTCCGTCAATAAAGTGCATTAGACACTAGCCTCAGTCACTCAAGTGCGATGATTACCCAGTTGAAAAGCTGTATAAGTTTCTTAATGTAAGTTTGTCACCCAACTATAACCTTCAAAAACGGTAAGGGATCTCTTACGGCTTTTCGCAACTAAACTGTGCTAGTCTTTGTGTCAGTCGTACAGGCAGACTGTAATAAATAGCTTTGATGCGTGACCCGATGATGAATGGGATTGTAGCTGACATGGGCCAAACGATTTAAAGCATGCCAGTACCCGATATACGTAAGATCTCTATGGTTTTGACTACCTGAACCATCTAGAACGTGTTCAGCACTATTTCTTTAAAGCTTGCCTCTTGTTTAAACTTCATAAGAAGATCGTCTGAATTTCAAAACTGTGTATTTGTAAAGAGGAGTTCAAAAAAGTCTTCGAGTTGCGGGCATGAAATACCTAAGGTTTTCAAATAAATTTGTCGATTTTCCAAAACTAGATAACTCAAACTATGTATGAATTTTAGTTAATCGGATTTCTTGTACCAAATGTAATAATAGGAACGCAACCCGAAAAAAGAACACAAAATAACAAATGCTAAGTCCTACCTCTATGAAAAACGTCACAAACGTTCTCTGCTTACACTTGGTGGAATCAAAAATAAGTCTAGGCTATTCAATGGTCTTATGACGTAAAATAATTAAAAACACTTTCAAAAAAGAAAAAAGATAAGCTTTGGAAAATCTGGAAAAGGAAGGATTGCTGACCTCCGGATCACCGAGGAATAATCCGACATCACCGAGTTTGCGAATTCGATTATATGGCTGCAGAATTTTGCGGACAAGAAGAAAAACTTTAATGATTACGATCGCTGATATTATCAATGTGAACATCTGAAACAGTAGAGTAAAATAATAATGCTCCGTTCGTAGTTCCAATTTTTTCCTATCGCAAAATTTCTTTGTTAGAAAATTCGGTAGACAGATGATCACTGTACCAGCAAGAAATGAGATCTGGAGGATAATCACTTAGCGAAGCTGCATAATTTACTGTTTCAACCAGCACTAATCAGTTCACCAGGATGCCAGGTGAGCAGGAAAACATAAGAAAGTAAGTTAAGAGAGAAAAACTTTCACATATACTCTACCATCATAGCGGAAAAGTTCTTAGAAAAATGTTCTAATAGTGTTCCTTACGTGACTAAATGTGGCAGTTTTTCACTCAGAGACAATACTTAGGCGATATGAAAAAGCACAATTTTCTTCATGACAGAAATTGAAAATTATTGAAACACCTGAAAATTCTGACTTCCAATTCGGTAAAAATTGGATCACCAATTGAATTTTTGTTGAAGAGAAGCCTATACGTTGTGATTCTCAGTCATTATGAAGATTAAAAAAGTGTCCATTTCGCAAGACCAAAAGCGAATCTTTGTGGTCCACTTGTCTATTCATCAGTTACGCAATAAAATGGTTGTTTTAGCTGGTGCAAATCAAAGCGAATGCTTGTTGAGTATGTTAATGAGGCGATTGTATTTGTTAGATGATTGGAATATAGAGCAGGTTAATGAAGTAACAAATGTATTATTCAGCTTAGTATAGAGTCATTGACATTCTGCATCTTTCCACGGAAAAGCTGTAGTGGAATACAGCTCAAACATGGATAACTAAACCTTTATGCGCAGATGTAAGGACAACGACAAAGTAAGGTAAGGCTCATAACAGTTTGCAGCGTATGTACGAGAACTTAAGAGTACTTCGAATAGATTGGTAATATAAGCGGTGGATGCAATTAAGAGCAGGAGTAGGCGTTTTTAATCCTAGAAAGCGTTTTTACGATTAAGGTGCAGAACCCAGGTGCAGAAGAGACAAAACGAAACTAACACTCTCCAGATAGGAACTGCACTTTGAGGGACATTATGCAATTGACATAAAACAAGTAACAACATGCAGAAATAGAGTGCTCGCTACGAAGTATATAATAGTCGTTACACTTCTCTGTTGGCAAAAGCTATAGCATGGTTGTTGGGAGCGTAACGAAATATTATGCCGAATTTTCGACAAACAGCATGAAAAGCATGAAATGCGACAAAGAAAGTTGTAGATAAAGATTGAGAGTCCTCTCTGAAGGATAGACTGGTATCTATAGGAGTCATTACTTAACAGAACATTATTCCTTTAATTCTTATCGAAGCTTGAGCGATTATAAATAGATTTTGAAATTATTTGACGAGCTCATAAATAAAGCGTTCACAAAAGTTCACAGAATATGGATGCATAAATGTTTTAGACTCATTTGAACCTCATCTTACATCGTCAGATTATACTACAGTTCACCTTCGTACAACTTTTATTCGATCGGTCAAGTCATCTCAGCGCAATCACTATTAACCTAGTGAAATCCCGGTCGCAAAAGCAGCAAAAGTATTTTCGATTGCCGATGACTTCCTCAGCTGAAAACCTAAAGGCAAACTAACCTGACGTGCTCAAGATTCCAAGAAACAGCACCTTTGATCAGGATTCAGGATGCAACTGAGAAGGGAAGAAGACATCTTATCTTGACTATAAACTTATACACGACTTCGGTCACCTTCCTGTATGGAGACTGCATGACTGCAAATCGAATTAGAGAGGCGATTGTCCTATAGAGTGTTTGGTCACGGGTTATCTAAGTATCTTAGTAAATAACAAGGATGTTGAGTTATTTGCAAAACACGGACCCCAGGCCAGATTCGAACCCGCGACTTCCCTTCCCTGGAACTCAAATGTTTCACTAAGCCCCTCGCTTTGCCTTCCTCTCGTAACACTCCTCCGTTAAAAAGTAATAGCCTGTAAATAAAAAGCTATTCATTGTGATTTCGATTACCGCATCAGCTTAATGGAATTCGATGCCGATTTGTGCTCCTAAGATCATTCTCGTTGAAGGGTGACGGCAGCGCTAGGGTAAAATACTAACTGAGAGAAAGGAAAGCAAGGTCTGCAGTGATGCAGTGGTGCAGTGGGAGGTCTGCAACACGTGAACTCCCGGGAAGGATATTCGAGGGTTCACACCTGGATTGGGTTCAGTGTTTTTCAGATATCTCAGCACCTTCGTGGTTGTCGTGCAAATAATACCATGCCGTCAAAAAATAATAGTAAATAAGAAGCTATCCATTATCTTAGTAAGCATTTGGACATCAGACACTTCAACATCCTTTTAGCTCTTAATCTTCTTTTCGCTAAGATTTCAGTTAACATCTAAGCTTCTGTATTTCAATAGTTCTTATTGGGTAGAAATTGATTTCGAGAAAGCACAGCTTTGACTACAGCAAGCGTTGGAATGTATTTACATTGAAAAAATAGTGACATACGGTTGCAATATTGCATAACATGTCATGAAGCTAGGATGGAGGACTCTAGTGAAAACTTACAGTCTCATCACATAATGGATGATTACTTTCTTTAGTCCTGCGAATTCTTTCTAGAATCCTTTGGAGTTCAACAATTCTAAAGATGCCTGTGAACAAGGAAAGCGTACAGCGAAGTCGTAGATCTTAAATTCCTTGAAAATTACCTCTAATTCCTAAGATAGTGAACCTTTGTGTTACTACTTACTATTCTGAGAGCGTGTGGCGCAGTGGTCGGAGGCGCCCTGCAACACACATGTGGAATCAATCCTTTACGCCCATGGCCCAACAAGCGTTCTATCTTTCCGGGGTCGGAAAATTGGTACCAGACTTGTTTGAGAGGATAGCAGCGCCGGCTCGATACATCGGTAGGTCACCACGAGTCATTGTAAAGGCCAGATATGCATTCAGTGACTTTCAAACGATGCTTACTGTGGTCGAATGCATGGCGTATCCCTAAAGGATTGATCAACGCTGAGAGCTTTTAGCTTTTTTACTACTCCGAGTAGCCAAATTGTTTGTATTCAAAGGAAACTTCCATGGAAACATAAAACTGTCAACACATCTGACATCTGAAAACTGTTATTCCACATAACACATATCTAACACATTTGCAAAGTGTTGCTAAATTTGTGGTGGCAAAGAACAATACACATAACGAATTTGATTTGTGGTCCCACTGTAGTGCTGGGTTACCGTAGTAATTGCAGTTTTAAGGTTGAGCAATCGATAACATAACATCATGAAATTAAAGATTTAGGTAACTTGTCTGTCATTCAAGCACATCCTTATTAGCAGGTAATGGTCGATGTTAGTCTTTGCTAATGATAATTTTCTGACAACTGAAAGCCTTGAAGGATTGAGGAAATGACAGACTCAGAAAAAAATTTGATCTGTCTTTCTATAGGTGTGCATCACATTTATGCTAATCTTTCTATATTGTCGTGCTCTGCAGTTGCACTCTAAGAGTATTCATATTATCACGTAGAACAGAGGTGACCATTGATCAGATCTACATCGAAAATGGCAGCGAAGAAGATGGAGATGAGAAGGGCAATGTGGAAGCTCATGCTTACCGTCGAAGAGTTTGGAGGAGGTGAATCAGAAAACGGGAGTGGCGTAGTTAATGTGAAGTTAGTGGTAAATGGTTTAGTAATATGACTGAAGACCACTATGTACTCGATGGTAGTGAATACAACGTGGATCGACAGTTTTCTTCTCGGTGCACAGAACACAGAGATTCTTATCAACTATTCATGGCCGACATTTGGCTGGGAGATGAAGAGATACGCACCACAAAAAGGTGCGTTGTAAAGGTGCACCTGTATAATAACTTCTTCTAGACAAATGTGACAGCAACATGGTAACAGTGAAGCGATGAAGAGTATGGTTTACTCTGGAAACGAGATCGAACCACCGACCATGTATTGAAGAATGCTGCCAACCACTGCTCTACAAGCACACCTAATCCACTTGGAATTATTCTAGAGAAATAGAGATAGACAGGCCCTACTGCGATCGTACGTATAGTTGACGTATTTCACAAACTTATTCATATACTTGTTGCAAATCCTTTTTTGTTTGTGGTTTTATGAATGCATTTTATGAAGCTGAGAAATAATGCAAAGGAATTAAATCTAGTAATTTGAGCCGAACTTACTAGAGGAAGCAACCAGTCTACACAATAATATCTGCGTATTCTAGACAAAATATAAATAGTACCTAATCAATAAACTTGCTTGACACTTGATACTTGAATGGCCTGTCCTGATTGGTTGTGTGGGCCTCAGCATAATCTCCATTTTTCGGAGATCTACTGGTTAAGCCATTGTGGTTCCCTGGAATACCGAAGTCAGCCTTGCCAAAGTTTGCCCAGGTCTTCAGCACCACAGTCAGTCGCAGCCCTTGTGAATCAGAGGGAGATTTGCCACCATGCGACTAGCCTGGTATTGGTTTACTTTCAGCTAGGATTCCTGATGGAAACGACAGACTCCTTCTCAACTTGGGAGACTGCCAGTGGTTGAATGGCTCGCTGTAGATCGCAGTCCTACACCAAGAAACACCTCCTACCCACGATGAGTCGGTAAACCGTTGGGAGGAAGCAACGAACACTAGAATAAAATTTCTAATAACATCAACTTTTGGCAGAATTAACTGTAGATTTTTTTCCCACGTTATCAACTGTTTCTGCAACGGATAACTCACATATCAACGACGTAGTCAAACAAATTATCCAAATAAATAGGTCGAAGTCTCATTCGATATGGGACAAACTCATGATGCAACCTGCAAAGACTGGTCATTTAGGCGCAACGGAAGAAAACGAGACGTATTTAGAACGGGCGATGAGAATAGGTCCCGAAAGGAAAAGTAGCAGTCGAAAACAAAGATTATGGTCGGCATGAGAACAAAGACCACTCAGCAGCATAAACAGACGGACCGACTGAGGCTGGACAATGTCCTGGTTACAGATGACTACGAGAGAACCAGCTGTCGAGACGTTCCCTG